CCACCATGTCTAACTAATTTAACATCACCAAATGTCGACCATTATTTACATAATACCAGAAACAAATATGATAAAAAAGTATAACATATGCTTGAAATCTGTATTCCATCAAGGGTTGATTGAATATAATAAATTATATACAGATATCTAAGACTAGCAAACTTTGATGAAATTCAAAGTAAAATTGAGGAATCCGTTGTTAAATCTACAATTATAGCTTGTCCAGCATTTACATCATATGACTTAAATTAACTAATACCAAGTTGTTTACAATTATTCTGTTTATGTAGCCAAACATGCTAAATAAATCTTTCTACTACTACTGCTTTGACGCGAAATTTTGTTTGAACTGTTGAACGGAGTTTTTGACACTTCCCGCTCATCGATTAAAGTGGAAATAATCTTGGTTTGGTGGCAATGTACCTACTCCAACATTTTTTTAGAAAAAATACTGCATGAATAAAGCAATTCCCTTAAGACAACAAACGACAATGGAAAGGTTTTACGCTTTAAATAAAAGGCAAATGCTGTACACGTATGGGCTTACGGCGGCATCAGTATTGTGAAACCATAGAATGAATAGTGAATTAAAATAATATCTAACCAAGGATATAAAGTCATTTTGTTATGATTTTGACTGACCTCTCACCCAAGAAATGCCTGCAGATGTCAAAAAATTATGTTAAGGGCTCGTAGTCGTCTATTGCTACCATTGTGAATTTTTCGCTTTTGTTGAAAGAGCTTCTACAGAGACTTATTTCGCTTTAGACGCAAACAGAGTCTTATCTGTTTTATCCTTTATTTCTCCAATCTTATGCAAAAATGTCAACCTGGTCATTAGAACGCCCTGTAAGAAAGGTTTTGACAACATTGACACATTTGCGAGCATAAGTTTTCTGAACTTTCTTGGCGAGAAACGGTTATTAAAAGATGGAAGTCGACCCAGGATCCACAACCGTCGTCGTGGCATCAAAACAACCTTCACGCCAAGCGCGCGTAATCCCGATCGTTTACGCGACGGGGCGAGGTGGCGTACTTTAAATTTCAAGTTCATTTCCCTAGGTATTAAAATAGATCGCGCGGTTGCCGTCGATGCGGGAATAATAATTTTTTCTAAATCCGAGGACGACTACAGTAAGATCGTTCCGAGAGGAAGAAGTACCCCATCACACTTTTCCTCTCCCTTCGGAACGGAACATCCATGCGGTGATTCGAGGAGTTTCTGTTAATTTGTCGGATACTGAGATTAAGGAAGGACTTGAGCAGAGGCGATATAGCCCTCTCCACATCATGAACATGAACTGCTGGGACTGGCCATCCGAGTTGAGGTTCAGAAGAACTCCAGATTCATTGGGCAGTGTCACCAATGCCAAAAGTACGGGCATGCGCAGTCATATTGCACCGCACCGCCCAAATGCTTAAAATGTGCAAAGGACCACATGACGCATTTGTGCTCCCTCACAGAAGAGGAAGACCGCAAGTGCGCGAACTGGCATTCATCAAAATTCTTTTTTGCAATTGTTTGGGCATAAGGGATATTTGCAAAAAAACGGGTACTTCATCAAGCTCTTTTGGATGAAGGTATAGACGTGGCCTTGCAGCAGGAAACGTTGCTAAATCCGGGAGACAGTTTAGCTCTCCCGAATTATGATGTTATCCGAGGTGACAGATTGAATGGTCGAGGTGGCGGCTTAGCAGTGTTGATTAAACGCGGTATAGACTATTATAGAAGCACCAATGCGGAGATGCATAGCATCGAAGCAGTTTCTGTGGTGATCAATATGGCGGGAGGTGTCTCGTTGACGATCACATCGATGTATGTCAGGTGTGGTGCCAGGCTACAAGAGGCGGATCTGAAGGTCCTTTTGGACTACCCGGGTCCGCTTATTGTGGCAGGGGACTTCAACTGTAAACATCGAGCATGGAATTCCCACTAGTGGGATTCGATTGTACAACCATGTGATGCGAAATGGGTGCCTTATACATAGCACTGATGAGCCGACACACCATCCATTCAACCATCTTCAGGCACCAGATGTCATTGACTTCGCGATATCTAAAAACTGTAGATACAGTATCTCTTCTCGAATCTTGTATGATATCTCTAGTGATCATCTACCTGTTGTCTTGGCTGTGGGCAATGAGCAAACTTCTGAGGAGGAAGCTCCTCCAAGGAAACGTATTGATTGGGAGCTATACAAGCTGCTCCTTAGAGAATTTCCCAATAACCCGATCATAGATGATGAGCCTGGAATAGATGCCGCTCAAGCGGAGTGGATAAGAACATTCAAACAGCTCTACAGCGTGCAGCTGCACTTCCTGTACAACACGGCAGACCTTCTTTGCCTGCAGACATTCGTCAGAAATCTCTGACAAAAGAGCCGCTATTAAGCAGGCAAAAAGGTCTTGTCATCCTGATGATATTCGTAGGGCTACACATCTTGTCCATGAAGTGAGAAACGCACTGCACGAATTCCGTAACGAGCAACGGAGCGACTTTCTGGCGGGAATGCTTGATTCAAGTATTCCTCTCTGGAGGGTAGCAAAGTCACTCAGAAACGGAAAGCGAGAACAACTCTCGCACATCCACGGGCCTGAAGACAGTCTTCAGAACGGAGGATAAGGTCGAGGTTTTCGCTGATGCCATGGAAAAACAGTTTTCTCCCAACTATGATCTTGATAATGACCTCGACGAGGAACAACACATCGTACGATCCATCAGGAGATATTTTAGGGCCATCGGCATTAGCGCAGGCACTGAATCCTCTTCAGATGACTCTTCTTCAGAAGATTTGTCTCAGGCTCCACATAGCGCATTAGCGGAACCCTTCGAGGTTCCACATTGCACACCAGCGGAGCTCCTAAATCATATTAAAGACCTCAACGTGCGTAAAGCACTTGGGGAGAATCAAATCGCCAACAAGGCGTTGAAGCTGCTGTCGCCGAAAGCTCTGACATATTTGTAGACAATAATCAATGCGATGCTCAGAATCCAGTACCTCCTTGCTGGGTGGAAGACTGATGAGGTCATCATGATTCCAAAGAAGGTGGGTTCGATATTTCCTCAGGTCCGAGCACAGCACCGAGCTACAGGCAGTCAGGCCTGTTGAACATGTAACTAGAGACTTCACCCTCAGCACGAGTACTGGCATCTCGCTTTTGGATGTCTCAAAAGCCTTTGACAAGGTGTGGCACGCGGGCCTCTTCTATAAACTAATCGAAAAGGGTTTTCCTTTTTGCTTCTAAAATTAATGAAATCCTTTCTTGAATGAAGTTTGGGATCAAAATTAACAATGTTTTGTCAACAACACGGCCAGTTCGGGCTGGTGTTGCCCAGGGCTCGGTTCTAGGACCAATCCTTTATTCGCTTTTTATCCATGATGTCTCTTGCCCCCGCGACTGTGAAGTCTACCTCTATGCTGACGACACTGCACTTGTCGCCCAGTCGTCTACTGGTGCTCTGGTTCACGATGGGTTGCAGCGCGCGGTGGACGTAGTACTAGAGTGGGCGGAACGGTGGCTGATTAAAATTAATCATTCGAAAACGTAGGCTATTTATTGTACCAAAAAATGTCGCGGCCCCCAGCAGAGGTTTCTGTAGACGGAAATCATGTACCAAGGACAAATTCTGGCAAGTACCTCGGTGTCACCTTTGATAAGGGCATGACCTGGCATAAACATACAGCAGCCTTGAAAACAAAATTCCAAATTGCGTTTCGGCAACCATATCCTTTGTTATGAAGATCCTCCAAATTGAGTTTGATGAACAAAATTCGACTATATAAAATGATTATTAGACCAGCCATTACTTATGCATGTGTTGGTGTTTTCTTGCCAAGACACATACGCAAAGTGTTCAAGTACTGCAAAACAGAACTTTGCGAACAATCTGCAACGCTCCATGGTAGGTCTCAAACGAGACACTACACAGAGACCTTGACATTCCTTACTTGAGGGATTATTTCAAGCTTCAGGCGCAGCGACGTAATAGTCAAGCGTTGCGTGATTCAGTGGACTACACAGTGGAGCAAATTCATAAGCATTCAAGGCCACGGCTCGCACTGTAATAAAAAATGAGCGCGACCTTTTAGTAAACTTAAAAATACACTCTAACAAAACCGAATCAAAATTTGTTTAGTTTACCTCAAAATTAATCGGTGTACCAAGTCAAAAAGCCTAGGTGTTTCCTCTTAAACTAAACACCTCTGTTTTCATTTGCTCTTCTCTTTTTTTCTTCTCTTTCCCTTTCTCTTTTTCCGTGACATTGTCTGGTTTCTGGGCAACCAGGACTGCCAGATTCGACTAACGTACATTAGACAGTGACTAATGGGCAAAGGTCCTACGGACCACCCAGATAAACAAATGACGAACAGTACCTGGTCATTATGGTTGTTTTAGTCGAAAAAGCACGCAGTCTTTCCAGATCAGCCGTGACCTTTACAAACACCAACCGAAGCTTTGCTATGTAAAACTCGCCTTACATCAACAACTTTTTCACGAATTTATTCAGGTAGATTTCATCAAAGTCGTCCTGATTATTTTTTATTGTTGATTGGTATTAAGACATAAAAAGACCATGCAGCCAGTATCAGCGGGATTATGTTTTACGATCAATTCACAAATTCAGTAAACACATAACAAATTCTTGCTACGAACATTTGGAGTTTTTATGTTTATTGTGGATGTGATTTTGAGGCGAATTTCATAAACAGAAACACCATATTGTTGAATACTGTAGTTCTATCAATGATCTAAACCTGAATTGAAATGTCGTTCAATATAATGAAAAAGAAAACAAGGCCACAAGTTCTAATTTCGTCTAGAAATCCATGAAAAACATCAGGGATGGCCTCAACTTGCTGTTCTACACTTTTGAAATCTGGCAATGAACTCAATTCATGAAGAAATCCGTGGATTTATTGTCAATGTAAAACGAGTTCAAGACATTTTGTGCATCAGGTTGAGCTCACGAATATGGTGCACAATAGAAGAATACCTACTTCTTATAACCGGCCCTCTAACTCTGCAGGTGTTGTAGGAACCACAATGGTTACACTTGAAGCCCACTACATGAAATTTAACAGTTCCTTCCTGGAATGCAAACACTCATTATTTTACTATAGAAATAAAAACGTTGTCTTCCTTACCTTGTGGCAGTCTTTGCATAAAATACCAACGTAACAGTTTCTGTATTCTTCCGGCATTGGTGTATTTTCTACCTGGAATATTATGATAGATATCAGATTACATACAGTAGTTAACTATATGTTGGATGGGCAGCAAGTGTTCAAAGTGAATGAAAGTTTGATGAAACAAAAAAAGTTTTTTCATCTAATGCTTCATTTAATGTAATTTCTGTCAGAACGCAGGACTAATATCTGTCATTTTTTATAAAATGCTTTCCTACAGCTGCTGTTCGGAGTGAAATGTTATCTTAGTAAAAATATGAACTACAGTGGACCTCCGGTACTCAGACAAACATTATGCAGGGCAGTGTCGGACTATCGAATTTGTCGGATTATAGAGCACTGCTTAAGACCCCCTATAGTCCGGAATTTTTTACAAAAGAGTACCTTGTAATCCGATAAATTACATATCCAATGGTAAGATTATATATGTATGTACAAATCTTACATAGTTTATGTATGTCGAATTTAGTAAATTAAATAACAATAGAGAGCTTACGTTTTATTATAAAATTAAGCATAAATGCACATACATATGTACCAAAATAATCAAGAATTATTAATCAAAATCATTAATGAATTTATCAAATTATGAAGCTTGGAAATATGCATCAATTTTTTGTTTAAGGTTGTTATAACGCGAGATCAGAGCTTTGTCCCTCAGTCTTCTCAAAAGTAAAAGTTCGGTGTAGGATGTACCATTCTCTTCAGCCCATTGTAAACCTAGCTCAAAGGCGTTAATTGCGTCTTGTGCTGTGACTTGTGGAGCAGTTGCAACCACGACGTCGTTATTTTCCTGATTGTTTGTTGTATAATTAGAAACCTCTTTTATAATCTCTTCGTCAGACATTTCATGAAAAACTTTTCCCTCTTTATCCATTCCACGGCATCAGATTTCCAAATCTTCCGGACTTATCTGTGTTTCAGTAGCGACTTGTTCTATAACTTCCGAAGTAACACTGATTTGTGGTGCTAGGAGTGGTGACTATATCTGGCCATAACTTTTTCCAAGACGATTTAATACTTGATGACGACTGACAAAGAGCAAAAACCAAGTCTTTCATATTAAATTTGTTGTTAAGTTTTTTCTATTGGTTGGTCTTTTGATACGGCTCTCAGAAGTAGGTTTTTCTTATAGTCTTGCTTGACAAACTGAATGATATTCTGGTCCATTGGTTGAATCAGTGCAGTGCAATTTGGCGGAAGAAACATCGCAGTGATGCATTTATCCTTAGTTGTTAGTTCTTCTTCAGACGGATGACCGGGAGCGTTATCAAGAAGCAACAACGCTTTTTGAGGAAAATTATGATGTTTTAACCATTTTCTAACTTCAGGTACGAAGCATTCATCAAACCACTTTTTGAAAAGGTCTTTTGTCATCCATGCACTTTTTGTCCGTAATAGTGTACAGGTAAATCAATGTTTTTGAATGCCCGTGGTTTATTAGATTTGCGTGTATGCCCGCAGCGTTAGCACATGGTAGTACGGTTACACGCTCTTTACTTACTTTTCGTCCAGGTACGGATTTTTCGTTACAAGAACCGAAAGTTTTGTTAGGCATCACACGCCAAAAAAGCCCTAATTCGTCTCCATTGTACACCTGTGACGGGATAAGATTTAAATCGTTCACCTTTTGCAAAAATCTTAATTTAAAGGGCTCTATGCAGGTGGCATCGTTAGGAAGTTTCTCTCCTGTAATAGTCATTAAACGTATGCCATGACGACTTTTAAAACGTTCTAGCCATCCTTTGCTGGCCACAACATCATCTTTTTTGTTATTTCCTTATAAAAAAACTTAGCCTTCATGGCCAACATGGGTCCTGAAATTGGTGCATGCTTATCTCTTTCCTGAAGAAACCACATGTACAAAGCTTCTTCCACTTCTGGATGTTCAGCTTTCTTGAGTGCCTATCTCTTGCCTGGCCCGCAGTCAGTAGTTGACACGAACTTCTTGATCTTCTCGTGGTTTCTTTTAATATCATACATTGTAGATCGGCCTACGCCGTATTCACTTGCTAAACTACTGAAAGTTTCATTGCGATTTAAGCGGTCTAAAATATCACATTTTTCTTTAATTGTCAATATTTTGTGCTTTCGCTTCTGAGTTTGTGATGACATTACTAGGTACTATACTTAATACACAATGAATAAATAGTAAACAATGAACGCACGCTAGGCCGTACCGCATATCACCAGTAGACAAATTCAAACTTCAAGTAAAACAATGCTTACGCGTCGAGCATGATAGCGGTGGCGCGTACAAGTTGTAACCTGTTCAACCCTGCGTGACCTACATTAGCGAAGATTGTCAAATACGTATGTATGCAATACATATTCAAAGATATGTCGGATTGCAGGGGGCGCCGGATTAGACAGGGGCCTGATTATCGGGGGTCCACTGTATATTAAATTTTATATTGTTTTGATGTTGACTGAAAATAATTACAGTATCTATAAGAAAGCAATAACTTTTATTTTTTTGGATGAATAAATGATACGTGAATTATTAGAAGGCTTTCATAATTATGCTGGTATGATGAACCACTAGTTACTCTCATTGTTTTGTTTGATAAAAGTTACATAGCAATGATTTTTTTTATAAACAATGAAGAGAATATTACAAGTGCTTATTTTTATAACACAAATGCAGGTTCAAAATATTTCGTTTTTAATTTTCAAGTATGTAAATTGAAATCGATGGTGTTGACATCTACATGTCAACTCGATTCTGCAATAACTGCTACTGTTTTGTTTCTACATCTATAATTTTTAAACACTTAATTCACTTCAAACAAAACCTTTAGTCAAAGGCAATGCAGTTTTAAGGTAACGATTTAGACATTCATGCCATAACTGGTACATAGTTAAAACAACGTCACTGTTATCTGGAATCACCAAAGCCAACAGTGTGTAAAGCTGTTAGTTATTTGCGTTGGCGTCGTCCGTTTTTGGCTTCTTTGGTCTGTTGTAGAAGACATAAACATTCGATAGCACACTAAATTCCACGGTGTATCTTTAATATGTGTGTATATATATATATATAAAAATATAAAATGAATCATAACAAAGTTTAATGAAGTATAGAAAAAATAACTATATCAATACCTCTTCATCCCAGTACTTCCAGAGTCGTTCCATATTGACCAGTGATGTTTGACAAATGGGGCATGCATAGAGGCCAAATTTAAGCATCCTTTCAAAGCAGGGCCTGTGCAGCAAATGGCCACATGGAGGGACGTGGCAGATTACTCTGGATGTATGGATATCTTCTAGGCAAACAGGACAGTTCGACCGAGACACGTTTTCAACACACTGAAACGTACATCGAAGTTTTAAAAAAAGGTGATGTTCGAATAAAAAAAGGCAGGAAGCACCCAATCTAACTAAGCTTATTATTCAAAACAAATCCCTATATTGTTTGCTGTTTAAGAGTTCTCTGTTTGGGGACACTTCGTATATCACTACAACGTTATTTTTTAACACATGTTCGTTACTCGAAAATGCATGATTAAAGTATTATCTTTTTTTATCTAAGTATTTTGACTCGGCAATCTTTCGTGTTTGCGGAAATGATTCCCTATGCATATAGAAGGATAAAGGATAATCCTACAACTACAAAAGGGTCATGTCATGATCTGCTATACAGCCAAATATTGTTTTATCAAAAGCCTTATAATTTTCGAGATTTTAAGCATTTAATTTTTTTGTTGAAAAACTGGTTTGCATTCACTCAATCCCATGCCATTTCTACAAATCAACCTTTTCAGACTAGGTTTGAACACTCAGAATTAAGCATTTAATTTCAACCAGTATTATTTTTTCTCAGAATTCCGAGTAACCCACATAAATATCATACCAAATTCTAAATTTGAATGAAAACTTGTTCTCACGTCAATTCTGTGAGAGAATCAACTATGACTAATGTGTCAACTAGTCGAAAAAGTTAGTTGGTTATTGGCAATTTTCAAATGGTATTATTTTTATTTGATCTCTATTGTTATTTTCTTCTAATTGCAGTTATAATGGAGAAGAGACTATTTTCGAAAATATCAAAAAAGAGGCATTTTCTTGTAATGGCATAATGTCGCTTGGAGAAAAAAAAAGCACAAGTGATGTTGAAGGGTAACTTATGATAAATTCATTAATGTAACAAGCACCATTTACCGTTTCATACATTCCATACATTTCATAATCATAAAACATTTCCTTGGCATGCCAGAATAACTACTAGCATCCTCGAGGTTGGTTCAATTTTGGAACCCAATTTGGTTATCGTGGTCAGCTCAGCATGGTATACAAATTATCTTAAGCAACCCCAATAAGAAATTTAGTATACTCAGGTCCAGCGATTTTGGTGGCAATAAAATACGACCGCGGTACCAGATCCACATTTATGATTGTTAAACGTGATGTCTACACTAAAATATAAATTCGACTCATTTACGCAGAAGCTTTACAATAAAAATGCAGACCTCTGACTTGTTATGATCATTTTTAAACCATCATCAGGCGTCAAGTCGATAGTCTGGCAATGTTTCTGCTTAGAACGTCAAAGCAAAGCATCAAAAGACATTTTAGGTTTTTATCGTTGCGTTTCCGTGCACATTTGCTGCAGCAGTTTGGGAACGTCACACTCTGGGTGTACACAACGCTCAATTCAAAAACACTGGAAGACGGCTTTGGTTGCAAAGTGATTGTCCAGGGGATATGCATAAAGGCGGATGTGACGCATAATCCAAATCCCATGCATGCTAAGGATTGGACTTATATCCCCCGAACAGTTCACTAAGGTTCCTTTAAATACTAAGCTGAACTAATTACCGCATAAAAAACTTTTTGACTTTGATACGGCGATCACACTTTATTATTTCATACTATAACATGAAGTGTCAAAGTCAGAAGTGAGAATGTTTTTTTCTTTGAAAACTTAGACTTAAGAATAAGAAAAAATGATGCTGTATATGAAACTGAGCTGACTATGGTAACAAAATTGTGTTCCAAATTTGAACCAGCCTCGAGGATGCAGTATTTATCTTTGCGGGTAAGAAAAATATTTTAAGAAAAAACTGTATGTATGGTATGTATAAACAATAAATTGTGCTCATGACATTAATAAATTTAATATAAATTATCCTTCAAAATTAATCCTGTGCTTTTTTGTCTCCAAGCCACAAAAGTCTATTTTTTGAACTTTACGAAAACTGACGTTCCTCCATGTAATATGCAATTAAAATATACAACAGCAGAGTGAAAATAATAATATTCAAAAATTGCTAATAAACAACCAAGGTTTTCGACTATTTGGCACAGTGATTATGTATGATTCTGTCACACTACAGGATGACATTAGACGTGAGAACGGGCTTTCATTAAAATTTAGACTCCTGGTACGATTTTTTGCGAGTTTCTGACCATATTGAGCAAATAATATAATACTGAGTTAAATGAAATATCTAATTTTAAGTGTTAACACAAAACTTGGTTCAAAAAAGTTGATATTTGTACAAATGGCACGGCATTATTGAATGCAAGTCAGTTTTACAACAAAATATTTTTTTACACCGAAGCAGCCGCGCAGGCAGAAGAACCAGGGCACCGCGTCTCTCATGTTAATTCGATTTTTTAACTGCTCAAGGTTAGTATAATTGGTTAATGCCTGCTCATGTCGTTTTTCCACAGTCTGGATACCCTAGGGACAAAAAAGAGGTCGTATCGGCCTATTCTGAATGTACGAAGTTCGACACGGTTAGGATGGGGCCTGAAGTCAGGCGGGTCTCTCTAGGCAGGCACATCGTGCGGCGGCATCATAGGGGAGAGCTCTGAGAAGCAAAGCCCGTTAGCGCAGTGGTAGAAGACAGCTAGATCGCCGACGACCTACCGGTGCAAAAAGGCCCCGAGAGAAGATTCATCGATCAGTCGGACAGCCCTCCTCTGGACATCATCGAGCATGGATAATGTAATCGGAGCGGCAGCACCCCAAACAATTGAGCAGTACTCGAGGCTAGGTTTTATTTGGGCCTTGTACAGTGAGGAGAGCTTAGCTTTTTCCCAGCAGCTGCCGCTATTGACGAGATGTGTTCGTGCCAAACCAAGTCCTCAATGATCTGGACTCCGACAAGCCGAGATAAACGGCTCTTCGGTACAATTCGGCTATCCATCGAAACCGGATGAGCCCTACAGTAAGGGATTTTGGAAGCACTGAATGATGAAAATTTCGAAAATTATAGCACTTTCGATAAAACAAAATTTTGCCACATATTAGACTATGGCATGACATGTGCAGTTGTAGGACTACCCATAAATTTCTTCTTTCTTCATAAAAACAACAATCACAAATTGTTATCTTTGTTTAGACATCCATTGTTTTATTGTTAAATTCTAGGACCACTAAAGCAATCCCAGGTGCGTTCTGAATACCAGTACAACTTTTATCTAGTTTAAATTCCAATAGAAAAGTATTTTAATACAACTTACCTTATGTGCATTTTTTAGCTGCATAGGCAAACACATATTACATGTTTCACAATGGAAAAACCTATCTGCTCCTCCTATCCTACAGATTCCGCATCCAGAGCAGTGGTACTGCCTCTTATCTTCATCATCGAACAAGTTGCATTCTAAACATGTGTACTAGAAAAAATCCCCATTATGTATTACCACTGAATAACATATTCTCCAAGAAGATACCTAACCCTATGCCGTTCTAGTTTTCTCACCGCAGTCATGTTACCAAGTCGGATCGCAATAGCTCCGTTAGAAGTAATAAAACCTACTCTTGTTTTTCAATTAAAGAAAACTGCTGAAACCGTATATGGAGAGATCACCCCTCATAATTAGTCCTAAGACTTCGTGTTCTCAGAATTTCTTAACGCAACAGTCAGAGATGTGGCAATGGTGGCACCTAAAGACGGTGATCGACAGGTATAAAGTTGTAATAAGTCACACACAGCTTTCAATTAGGACGTTTTCTGAGGTATAATTGTTTTCCGAAAAGAATATCACGATATTGTGTAAACATTTCATCCCCAAATTACAGACCTTCAGGGTATGTTTTGTGATACATCATTCAAAAGGTATTTTATTATCTTCAACTGTATTGCATAAATTAATTTAATATAATCACACTGAGTTTTGATATTACAAGCCCATCTTGTATGTACTGTGTAAGGTTCAAGAGTATTTTACCTGTTGGGAGGTGGAATAAAGAATACTTGAAAAACATGTATTAGAGTCATAACATTTATATTAAATCAGGTTCTTCAAGGAACTATACCAGAATAGTTCTGATCCGTGATTTTAGAGCCGTATTGCGAATAGCATTCAGAACGGTATTGGAGTAGTACTTTGTGATGAACTCATAATTTCCGATAGTAACATTTCGTAACATTGCCATTGCTATTGTCTGTAGACATGAGGATCGTTTCTCCTTGGCATCCGATCAACAAATGTTTGCTTCCTTATTTTCGTTTGTCTGTCTGTTAGCATTATTCTAATTATTTCGCGAACTTACACCACCATATGAATAAGTACCAATATAACGATACTCAAATGATTTTAGTGTATCTAAATTTTAGTTAATTTATATACTGCTATTTGGCGATACAACACTGAAATGATTAAAATATGTTCCAAGGAATAATAAACCTTTACTTGATTTCCATTATCTAGTAAAATACATTGCTGGACTCATTTTCATACAGATCTGTTTTACGAGGGATGTCTTTTAAGTTTTGCATATAGAAACATAGTAGGCCGCACGGATCGAACGTCAGTACTGAATCTTAAACTCACTCTTTAGTAAACTTATAAATTCAAAGTTTCACAACAATACGTGCAGTGTTCTCACTACAGTGAATTTTTAATGTCACCAAGTCATTAGAAAAATGGAACTCAACCGAGAACATTTTCGCGCCATAATTAATTAGAACTTTCAGAGCCAATTATCGCAAGAAGAATGCCTTGCTGAGTAACTGTCTGTTTTCGGCAACGAAGCGCCACATCAGTCGAAAATTTCCCGTTGGTATGGAAAATTCAAACGTGAACGGGTGAGTCTTAGCGACGATCCCAGGGTGGGTGCACCAAAAACGGCAGTCACCCAGCAAAACGTCGATGCTGTGCGCAAACTCATCATTGAAGATAGATATGTGACATATCACGAGATTGAGGCGTCCTTGAAGATCTCAAAGACCTCAATTCAAAAAATTTTACATGAAGAATTAGGAGTAAGAAAATTAGTTTCTCGGACACCCCACCTATTGACTGAAGAGCAGAAAGCAGCCAGGGTTAATTGGTGTCAAAAAAAGCTTGGCCGTTCTCGAAGTGTTTCGAAAAAGATGGTCGCGACATTTGTGTCAAAAGCGGGTCATATTGCAACAATTCCTCGTAATGAGCAAAGAACTGTTACTGCGGCTTGGTATACCACCATTTGTTTGCCAAAAGTCATCACCAAGCTTCGAAAAATCAACCCCGAAAGAAGAATCATCCTCCACCAAGACAATGCAAGCTCGCACACAGCCCAAAAAACAAGCCAGTATTTAACGGAAGAAAACGTGGAATTATTGGACCATCCTCCATATAGTCCCGATCTAAGTCCTAACGATGTCGTTACTTTCCCGAAAATTAAACACAGACTGCGTGGACAAAGGTTCCAGTCACCAGAAGAAGCAGTTGAGGCATTCAAAAATGCGGTTTTGGATCTGCCAGCAAACGAGTGGAATAAGTGCTTCGAAAATTGGTTCGAGCGCATGCAGATGTGTATTAATCTTCGTGGAGAATACTTCGAAAAACAATAAAGTTATTTAATTTTTGCATATGGAAATAAAGCAACGCGGTAGGTTGTTTTATTTCCATATGCAAAACTTAAAAGACATCCCTCGCATTCCCTTTATATCGTGGTTTGCATTTGATTTAGAATCAAATTGTTTTGACGTTCATGCATTGGTCACTTGGTTTTTATATTATCAATCTAAAGAGTCAGTAGCTTTATATCTAAAATCTATATCAACCATCAAAGTTTGCTTCTCAACATAACAGTGATTTGCTGGGATTGGGCATATTATCGATCGTATATGTCTCCTTCACAATATCAAAGAATACAATTACCAGTAGAAGAGCCACTCCGTCAAAAAAACATTTTGTCGCGGTGGCCAAGACAATACGTCTGGTGGCTAAAATGATACCTTCCATTTGAATGCGATCCCCCATTTATTACATGCGGTAATAGTCCAGGAAATCTCATCGTATCTGCTCGGAAAAATATTCTAATTAGATTTTTTGCACAACCTTAATAAAAAGAAAAACAATATTTGACGCAATGTTAGGTCTGGCAAGGGCTCTCTTCTTGAATGAGATTATGCGAAAAAAACATGCAAAATGTTTATCCAAGCAGATGCGATGGTAGTCGGAAGTGGATCGTGTAGCTATTGGATGTGTACAGGACGACTCACTATGACAAGTTGGTGCTGTGCCTGGATGCAAAATAAAAGAAGGAAGTGTCCCGATGTTTCCTTGCTAGGTTACTATTGAAGCATATTTGGAATCCCTTTCTTCTTACAGGAGCTCAGGTCGAGGTGTAACTGACGAAGTAGATGCATCAAAAACGTATCGACGATTCATGAGCCAGTGTCAAAAACGCAATATCACAAAAATGTGATGTGCAGTTTTACTTATAATTTCCAAAATAACCCATGGTAAATTTGCAGGCTTGATAGTTCCTTTTCGGAGCTTCGTTAAATATGTTACAGAATGGGAGGAACTATTTACAAAGAACTTGCTTGAGCTGGCTTGTGCAGACAATGTAGGAAAACGACTGAAAACTGACTCTCGGGCGTAAGTATCACTTACCCTTGTGAACAGTTTTCCGCTGAGCATTTCCTTTCACTTTATACACAAGTCCGCATTTATTTTCAATTCAAATGGGATATAGCTAATAAAGCTAATCCTAAATTGAGAAGATTAACTCATCAATAATTTATGGGAATAAGACAGAACAAAGTGCCATCTGTTGCCAGAATCGATCAGTGCGAAAGTGAAAACAATTTTCAGTGATCGATTTTTGGTAACAAATGGCACTTTGTGCTGTGTCATTTCGATAGACCTTATACTATGATTAGAGGCTAGTTGCTCAGCTATCGGTTATTATCCTAAATGGGACCAAGCCTGCGCCATGCTGAGGAGTCGCCAAATAGCACGAAACAGCTGTCCATGGCTGGCAGTCTGTGGTCGGACGGACAAAAACTATATTACTAATTTGATCTATAGATTTGTTTAGGAAAGTTACTAATGGTACACCTCCTGCAGTGGCATTCATACCATATCCTTTGTAGTTTATAGAAGTCTCATTTCATTCCTTTCAGAGTATTTTCTATTCTTTATTTCATTTTTTTACCTAACTGCAGATAAGAAAGTTTAAAAAACTTCCTTTTTTACTTAGCTCAGCACCCTTACATGCATTTTCAAACTTGTGACCATACAGTATATTGCCAGTTACAGTGCAGTATAGTAGCTACTGAGGTTACGTCACGACAAAGAATTAAACGTTAGAAAAGCTTCAATTCTCAAAGCTTCAAAACCTAGACTTATAATAACGTAGGAAATATAAAAAAAAATTACTTCACAAGATCTTACATAATGCATATCTCAAAATAACAATAAAGAGAAAGGTAAAATAAAATTGCAGTCCAATCAAATGTAGTGCAGGTAAGGAAAGATTTGCGCAAATGTTTTCCACATGATGACGTTCATCTACAAGCAACGTTTGCCAGGCTGTTCGTAAGTAAGCGACGTTCGCTAATAGGCAACGTTTGCCGAAAATAACGTGGAAGCGACGTTCGCTTGAAGGCAACGTTTGCCGAAAATAACGTGGAAGCGACGTTCGCTTGAAGGCAACGTTTGCCAAAAATAACGTGGAAGCGACGTTCGCTTAAAGGCAACGTTTGCCAAAAATAACGTGGTAGCGACGTTCGCTTGAAGGCAACGTTTGCCAAAAATAACTTCTTGAAAATACGATGTTCGCATGTGGGCAACTTTTGCCTCTAATTATCGTTTATTAGGGTCACCCATGCCTTGACCTGGTCTGCAGCTACAACAGTTCGCTTCCGTTTGAAGCCTTCTCGTAAGTCTTCAACTTCGTATCGATCGTTGAATAATTTTTTCGTAACTCGAAAAGGTCCCTTATATTTTGCATGTAGCTTATGGCTAGTTCCCGTAGATGGTATACTCGTTATCAATACCCTGACCAAGTCACCCTCGTTATACTGGGTGGCATTGCGTCGACTTTGATCGTAACGTTCTTTTTGTTTTTTTTGATCATCCTCAATATGTCCTGAAATCTTATGCCTAACCTCCTCTAGGTCAAGTCTATCTATCTCATTTTGAATTGCACTCAAAACTGTCGCCTCAGCTGCATGTTTAGAACTGTAACCAATCAGGGCCACCATAGGAGTCGAATTGATGTCTTTGTTAAAACTCGTATTCAATGCACTTTGTATTTGTTTTACGTATCTATCCCAATCTCGCTCATCTTTTCCTGCAGCAGTTGTTGATAGAGCACTTACGATTGTTTTGTTGTAACGTTCACATTGACCGTTAGCCCTTGGCGTGGCGACTGCATTTAGGACATGCCTTATTCCATATGTGTCACAAAACATTTTAAAGGTTCGAGATGTGAAGGCCGTACCTCTATCACTTATAATTCTTGAAGGTACCCCAAATAAATGGATTACGTCAGTTAAAGCCTTGATCACGTGCTTACTTTTCTGATCATGTACCGGCTCTATTATTGTGAATTTGGTAAATGCGTCAACAATTACAAAAATATACTTATTTTTTCTTTTGCTTGTCACAAATGGTCCAACATGATCTACGTGTATCGTATGAAAGGGGATTGGATGTTTTTCTATAGGATTTAATTTGCACTGCCGTTTTGAGGAGCACTTCTTATAGTACATACAGTTTAGGCAAGCGTTAACATATTTTGTTACGATTTTTCTCATTTTCGCGAACCAGTAGTTTCTTCTTATTCGCTGTAAAACCTTTTCTACTCCAAGGTGTCCAGAATCGTCGTGACATAAACGACAAATTTGCATACGTGCTGCTAATGGAACAACCCATGCTTTAGTTCCATCGTCTAATTTCCTGTACAATTTGTCGTTTTTCAATTCGTATTTATCGAAATATAACTTCGTCTCATTATTCCTTACTTTACTCGATAGTATGTTCCGAATTCTACAAATCTGTTCATCCTGCAATTGTGCTGCAGTAATCCAATCCGCTTCCGTCAAATCTATTTGGAACACTTCTAACTCAAGGTTGGTGATTGCTATAGGGTTTCTACTGAGGGCGTCTACATGAGTCATTTTTTTACCAGCTCTATACTCAATTTCGAAAGAGTATTCCTGAATCTCCAACCACCATCTTCCAATACGAGGAATTAAATCTTTTTTTGACAGGGTCGTCCGTAAAGCATTACAATCGGTGACTATCTTGAAATTTATCCCCAGCAAATACACTCGAAAATATTTTAGAGCGTAAACTACAGCCATAGTCTCGAGTTCGTATGAGTGATATTGTCGTTGATCACATGTTGTTTGTTTGCTAAAATAGGAAACGACACGTGATTTACCTTCAGAGTCAAATTGAAGTAACATTGCTCCTAGACCAATAGAGCTCGCATCTGTATGAAGTTCTATCCTCAATTTGGGGTTATATATTGCAAGAATTGGACGTGATGTTAATGCCTCTTGAATTTGATGGAATGCCTGCCTTTGTGGTGCGTTCCAGGTCCAAATTTCATTTTTACGGGTTAATCTTGTTAAAGGCTCGACAATCATGGAGAAATGTTTAATAAATTTCCGGAAATAACTGGCTAATCCGAGGAATTGACGTACTTGCTTAACGTTGCGAGGAAATGGCATATCTAAAATTGCCCGGATCTTCCTTTTTCCAGGTTTCACCCCTTCTGCGCTAATTTCTCTTCCAAGGTATTCAATTGTCGTTTCCAAAAATACACATTTACTGATTTTCAAAGTGAGGTTATGTGCACGAAGTTGAATTAATACTTTTGCCAACCGTTCTAGTCCCTCTGCGATCGTAGACGAGGCAATTATGATATCATCGATATATGGAAAGGCGTATTCATTTTTTAATGGTCCTAGTACTTTGTTGATTAATGATTGGAAAACAGAAGGAGCATTGGTAAGTCCGAAAGGCATCCGTAGAAACTCGTAGTGGCCGTCAGGGGTTACGAATGCCGTTTTTTCAATAGAGTTGGCAGCCATACGGACTTGATAAAACCCGGACGCCAAATCTAAGCTTGTGAAATACTTAAATCCTCCTAATTTATCTATTTGATCCTCAATATGCGGTAATACACTATGATTTCTTATGGTGACCGCGATGAGCTGCCTGTAGTCGACGCACATTCTATAGTCCCCATCCTTTTTCTTCACTAGTGTAATTGGGCTGGCATACGGGGAGCTAGATTCACGAATTATTCCGTTATCTAATAGTTCCTGAATCATATTTCGAAGAATTTGCTTTTCTATGTCGGGCATTCGATAGGGATGACGCGCAACTGGCGTGTCGACCAAACATTTTATTTCCATTTCTACTGTATCCGTGTTTACTAAATGTTTCATAGAAGATGAGATGCAGTCCGAAAAATGATGCAACAAAGAAATGCAGGCCTTCTTATCGGCTTCCGAAATAGCACCTATCTGTATATTATTGAGATCCAAGCCATTGTCGAAAACTTCTATCAAGTTCACAAAAAGGTTTTCGGTGGGAGGCAACCTATATAAAATTAATCGGTTCTCACGTTTAGTCATAACCACGTGTTCTTGGTTAATAAAATCTCTCCCGATTAATAAATCAAATTTCAGGTATTTGTCCGGAACAATTATGGCACGCACTTCTGCTGAAACTCCCTGTATACTAGCGGTGATCTTGCAAAACGATGTACTGTTCACAAAGGTACCCATAAAACTGTACAAAGTCATATCCTTCGAATCCGTACGAAGAAGGCCAAGTTTTCTAACGAGTGATTCTTTTATGAGTGTGTTAGAACTGCCAGAGTCTATTAAACAGTTTGTTTTCTTTCCGCAAATTCGGGCATTTTGCAAAAAAATATTAGAACCCACACTCGTTAGTGCTTCAACTTGATGCACTTCCTTACGCGGAAAGGGCACTTTTCTTTAAGATGTCCCAATCTTTTACAGTTGGTACATTCCACGCGTGGCTTTCTGCAACTGGATGAAATATGGCCCGGAATACCGCAATTAAAACATGTTGGGCGCGAGCCTGAAGGCTTATTGACTTCCTTTTTATTACGATTGCCATAACCAGATCTGAACGACGTTGACGGCTGAAAATTTCCACTATTAAGATGAGGACTTTTTTTTTCTTGAGGCATTTCGCCTACAGTGTTTAAGTAAGCATATAGAGCGTTTGCGTCCGTATGTTGTGCAGCCCTGACCGTTCTTGCTATGTTTTCATCCCTGATACCACCAATCACTGCATCAATCAAATATGGATCAGGTATTTGTATATTGAGTGCTCTCAATTTGGACAGTTTTTTGAAACAATAATCGCCTAAATTTTGCCCTGGTGCTGCGTCGTAGTTAGCGGCATCTTTGAATAATTTAGAAAATGGGACGGACTTACGAAAGTGCTGGCTCATTGATCTTTTAATTTCATCCCAACTGGAGTCGTAGTCCACATTTTTTTCGTACCACTGACGGGCATTGCCTCGCAGTCTTCCAGAAATCAGTCGTAGAATGGCATCGTCATCCCAGTGATAGCGCTCTGCCAAACGGTCAACTTTATCCAGCCACTTATCCACCATCACGTCGTCCCGATTAGGATCAAACGTCGGCACTAAGAGTTCATCTCCCGTACGAATGATTGCCGGGTACCGTCTCAATTCGTTTAATTCTTTTCTCAATCTCTTTATAGTTTTTCTTGAAGACGATCTATGGGAAGAGGCCGAACTCGAACTGTCACTTTCACTCGAGGATTCCTTTCGGCTCCGCTTCCCACTTCTATTCCGCGATTTGAATTTAGTTTTCCCCATGATGTAGGAAAATTCAACTGATTTTAAGGTATCCCACCGCTGCTTTGTAAGAAAAACAAGAGTATCGCACTATTCGAATATATTCTCCATATACAACCGCTCGATACCACGTCTAGTTCTTAACTGACCTTGACATTCCACAACCGTTGTCAGGTATATACAATATGATACATTACTATGAAAACATCAGTACAGTAATAATAATAACAGTAGTGATTTGAGATGTTTTTGAAAATAGGAAACTTCCTCGTTAGATTGGGTATCTTCAGGTGGAATATGTTAAATCATGGTATTGCCAACAGTATTACATAACTAAAGACTCATAGAGGTGAGGATAGAGCATGTGGGTAGGCAGTGTTGGTTTTTACATGCCCTATCCTCTTCCACATTTCACGCAGATAATTACTAAGTATCAAAAATCACCTTTCCAAATTGTACACCACATTTCTCACAGTTCCTCTGTACCTTCTGTCGAGTATCACAGATAGCGCAAACTAGTTCTGTAACTTCCTTTCTATTTATTGTATGATCTTCGTTCTCGTCATGGCAGAATCGACAGACGTAGATCTTGTCACAGCATGGCGACTGCAATTTTTCAAATTAATTATGGTGTTTGGCTCAAATTGGTTGCTATTTATATAAATATCACTGAATGCAAGTCAGTTTTTCAACAGAAAAGTTAAATGCTGCAAATTTTGTTAACTATTAGACTTTCAAAAAACAATAATTATGCAGCCTGTGTCAAAAAAAATTGCAAGTGATTTATATCAAAAAAAATTCTAAAATTCTTTATCACAATCACATAATAAGCAACCAATTTTTGAATAATACCACTAATGGAAAGAGTTTTGGAAAATTTAATCATAATAGAAAATTTATCAAAATACTTGAGGGTTATGTAACCAGGATTCAAACTGACCTTGACTTAAAATGTTCATGATATATTGCTATTTGAATGGTTTTAATTTTTTATATCATATAGAATATATTTGTTTGATGATATGAGGATAACACAAGCATTAGCACAGTATGTAGTTTGACCCTTTTGAAATAAATAAAAATAAAATAAAAAATTAATGTATTAAAAGCCCCATCAATCACAAAGTTTTCTACAGGAGGTTACATGTCAAATTTACCATTTTTTATACTTCTCCTCTGGAATGGTGAAAGTAACCACAAAGTTCGCCAAAATTGTAGAGCATGTATTGTTATATATTGTTTATAAAAGTTGCCCACTTACTTTTTTTGTACTTAGGTCGCAGTTAATGTGTTATTTGATTTATAGGAACTAAGGTACTGCTATGGCTCACATGCTGCAGGTTTTAGGTATACATTATCGTTTAATGCAAACTAGTAAATGAAAGTAGTGATATGTATGACAAACTAACATTATGGAGACATCACGTATAGATAGTATTTAAAAAATATGCTAGTGGCCCCAAAAAACATCCACAGAAGCTTCAAAAGTGTTTCTGATCTTTAGTCTGCTGTTACAAGCAATATATCAAAGTCCCTATGGATTCATTTAATGCAGATGTACTTCCACATTCAAGTTGAAATGCAATGGAAATGTTTACACATACTCTGTTACCATTTTTATATAATGTGTCATTAATGAGGAATGCTCAGAGTCAGCTTGTAAACACTCTGCTAATGGTTCTTTTAATCATTGGTAGAGAACAGTAATGTCTCTCAAATTGTGTTCTTCCCAGAACATGTTTTGTTCAGAAGTTCTTCCTTTCTGATAATTACACATTGAGGTTTTTAAAGTATTCTGCAAATTTACATACTACCTATAAGAGTTAGTGTAGGGGGTCTGGGTAGCAAGTCAAGCTAATAATCAGTCTACCCAATACTTGCAGCATCAAATCTCCATCTTGGAGGTTAATATTGAGCCATGGATATTATGTTGTGTGTTTAGTGCAAGTTCAACATAGGCCCAGAGCATGGCTGGAGCTAATTTATTCAATAATCAGTTACCAGTAGATGGCTTGTGGAGTAGAAAGGGTACTATGGTCCTGCAAAAAGGATTAAAGGTGGCCTTGTTGCCACCACCTCTACTACAGCTGCATGAGATAGAGTACTTGATGAAACTTTTTACCATGCAATATTGTTTGGGCTAGTGACAGAACATACGGATCATTTCACATTCGCCTTAAGGTCGTCCGACCATTTTATCTGTCATCCTGATAGCTGCATCACTGATTAAACCATCATTAACCAGTTGAGCTAAACTTGGTTTCATATTTGGCACCATTAATAGTCATATTTATATTCAAACACAATGGATACCATTATGCTATAGTTTATTGAATATTGCAACAATAATACTTTGAAACTACATCTTCGAATATAAGTAGGGAAAATAGTTATCTCCTTCAAATTATGAATGGGTGGTTGCAAATTTATATTGCAGATGATGCGAATATAGAATGTTCTATAAAAGTGCTCGACGATAATCCAACAAAGAGCGTACTCACCACAAACTTGGATTTTCTCTTGTAATGGGCACATCCTATCAGTTTTACCGTTTCATCTGGTGGACCTTCGGCTCTAGGTGTTGAAGAAGTCTCCATCGTCTACAGTGATTACAAAATAATAAGGATTTTTTGTGGAATCAAGTCACTATGATTTTTACCTTTGTATAGATCTAATGAAAATGATAAAGGTGGTTGACTTTGATCAATTGCGTTATGCGTTGGTGTATTCATGCGTCAAGCCGTCAGTCGTCAGTCAGGCTGACTGAAATGCCATTTTTTATATTCTTAAAACGTCAAATGCACTTTGATATTTTTTGACACAAATATGCGGGCCACAGAACTGTCAGTTGGATAACACAAAACATATACACTGAAGAAGGTTCAGTCATGTGCTATCCATAGGGCAACACGGTCGACTTATATCAGTGGCAATCGCCATTTTTTTCTGGTTGCCAGATTCGGCACGAACGCCGCATGCGACGTTGTCGGCTCTTTGCATAAATCTGAGACTCTTGTATAATTATATATTGGGCATTGATCTATGGAAGATTTTATATTTATATGTGTGTGTATATATATATGTGTGATTAACATATTTTTGCTGTTTCGACAAATAGATAGTCACTTTTGTTAAAGGAGCAGCGTCAATAACTCAGGCCATTATAAAATTATCCATATATGCTAGCTATTTGAAATTTTGAGAACAGTAAAAGAATCTATACTCGAGAATATATTTTTATCTAAATTTTATATTCTATGAACACATCAATAATATTTACGGTCCAAATATTTTCTGGTGATGGTCTTCTGCAGTACCTGTTCGGAAAAATTGATAGAATTAGTGATGAAAACAAATCGTTTAAAAAAAATAATAGTTATCGCTAACAACTGTAAGATTACTAAAGTTACCAGATTTTTCATAAGAATTATAACACAGGGATATCTAATCACATTTCCATAATAATGATAATCAGAGTACAAAAGTTTTACAGAAAATATGATTATATAATTTAGGAATTTTTACAGCAGCCTTAAAATATATCATACTTTTTAAGCTATACGCAACATATTTACTAAAGTAACAAAACTCTTTATGTTGAAGTTCATATTCAAACTTGAAATCTATGGAAATTTTCGTGAGTTTCTCATATCAACTACAGAATACCAATATTAACAGATCACTCGATTTGACAAACTTACATTAGCTATAATTGTGAAGCACTCAAAGAGAAAAGAGTAGCAGAAAAATCTATATTCTATCTATCTCTGATCATCATGGGTTGGCAGTGGAATGAAGCGTCTTCAACTCTTGCTTCTTCAATGTTTCATAGCATTACACATTTGTGACTGTTGAATCAAACAGAAATCCTTAATAGTCGAAATGTTCTAACAAATACATCCTTCCAATTTATTATCTCTTTATCACTAAAGCTTTTTTTCAAGCGACCAGGATGCTCCCTTTGCCGATTACAATCATCAAGAAGAAAATGGGATGTTCTCATACAATTTCACCAACATGTTAGGTGTTATACTCTAGATTCCAAAGTTCATTAACTCAACAAAAATGTAGCTTAAATAAGATTTGTAGTTACAAAAAACCTACCTTCGACGAATCCAACCATCCAGATCCTAAACAAATAAAAGAGTGGATAACTAAAAATGACAGCAATATACCGTCATATTTGTCAAAGCCGCCATTTTTTCTTAATGCCAACAGTGTTGTCAGGTTGTGGTTTGGCAACACCGCACTGTTTCCCATTCTCCCATTTATGTTGACTTCCCATGGTGATGAGTGTCGATTGATGTAAGAAGTTAGGCAACCCAAATAGCACTGCCGTATGTCATTGCAAAAACAGCGGCAAATGTCATATGTCATTAGTAGAACTATTCTGAGTAGGCAGGCGTTCTTTGTGTCATATTTGTTCTATCACTGCAAAAACATGGCGACAAACGTCATTCGTGTTGCCGCTTGAATTGCTCTGAGTAAGCGTTTTTTCCGTATATGTTTTGTGGGTGAAACGTATAATGGGCAAACTGGCAATACCATGGTCATCCTCTCCAGGCAAAGTCGAGGAAACTGCATTACCTTAAAAATGGGTATAAAATATAAAGCAACACTATCAGTAGCTGTGATGGTATACAAGAGATGTATTGTGAATTGTGACTATTGTGGGAGATGCAAGTTCGGGAGACTCTGTCATAAGTCATAAAGTGCTACAAGTAGGCTGTGAACTTTGCATATCGGCATTATGTAGGTTATTTAAAATTGCATGTCTGGATTCAGCGTCATCATAATCCTTGCAGTTGGCACCGTTACATAAAGAACGAAAGTTTATTTTGTATTAAATAAGGCATGGTAATGTCGGCAGAGTAAAATCATAAAGCCCTAAGCTTTATATAGCAAAATTATGCCCATCTAGGCCAACAAATTGAAGGCATAGTACTGAGCAAAATAATTAAAAGTAACTAGCTTATTTACAAAGAATTATGAATTACATTAGTGTTTTCTGTATTGTTTCACAATTATCAAGAAGCAATTCAATGAAACGAAATACCCGTGCTTTGCAATACACAACATGAATTTGGAATACATCTGTCTATATTTTCATGTAATACAATTTTTATAACATTGTCAGCAACATATGATTATTTTTTAAAACTAAATATATTTTGTGCTTGGATTTTATTATTCTATCTCGTTCTCAGCAAAACTTCTGAAAGATATTATTCTTATTGAGGATATTTTATAAATATATGTTCATGGAATAATCCTTCAATATCGGAAATATCATTTTCATCAGATTTCGAATTGGGAACAAACGAAATCCCTAGTACGTTCCTAGTGTTTTTTATACCAGACGCGATCTTAGCATTCTTTCTATAGTTTCTTCATGCAAGTAGGTGGCGCAACCATCTGATAAACGTCAACGGTGCTGCCATCGTTTAATGTGCAGCTCCCACTTCTTCAGTCTTATGTGTTTTGTGGTTCGTGTCACAAAACATCTACATTCGTCCCTGACATCTCTTATCCCTTATCCAAAATCCAAATAAAAATAATAATTGTCAAATCAAATTTTAGGTTATATTTGTGTGCCGTTTCACCTGTTTGATCAAACTCTAACAACAAAGATTATTTCGCATTTATTATTCCATCATGAGTCGAAAAGAGGCGTTATCTACTTTCATTCAACAAATCCATGCTCGACCAGTAGTTGTTAAGTTAAACAGTGGTGTGGATTATAGAGGTATACATTGTTTTTTATTTTGAAAAGAGTCATTTTACAATATTGTTTTTTTCAGGCGTGCTTGCGTGTCTTGATGGCTATATGAACATTGCTTTGGAGCAGACTGAAGAGTATGTAAATGGACAACTGAAAAATAAGTTTGGAGATGCTTTCATCAGGGGAAATAATGTTCTTTATATAAGTACGCAGAAGAGACGTTATTGAATCCTTGAAACTTATAGTTACGATCTAATTAAGAATTTAGGATGTAAGCTGCTACACAAGTCGATACAACAAGAATAAACATTTAATAAAGTCTGCTGTAGTATATGTATATAGTCTGGCCCACTCTGCTTTAATATATTTTTTAGTGTAGTAATGTGGGTCATTTGCATTTTTTTAAGTGTTGTGCCACGATTTCGGCAAAAATTTCGCTACGGATAGTCTTCTAGAGTCTAGTAGAATACATTTCAACAGTTGTCTTGTGTGGCCATGTTATCTTTTCTCGGATCGTAATGTGTTGTCTGGGAATAATCTGAGATGACCTGGAACAACCTGACATTCAAAAACTGTCATAGGTCTGAAATGTTATGTTTTCATACTGATATGCAGTTTTCTCATCAATTACCTTCCATAATCAATATTAATCAAATAACAGCTGAGGAAGATGAAGATAATTTCATTTACCAGATTAGAGAGGAGCTTATTGAAAATGTTATGAAACATGTTGATGTCATTGAAGATAAACACAGACTCATTAAATTTGTGGCAAATTGTGCTTATGATGCACTTACCAAACTGCTCACAATTGAGTTTTATCATCATAGTCCTGTGATTAATCCAACTGAAGGAGCATGGGTACCTGATAAACCACTTATGCCTTCTGAACCAGATACTTGGGCTGCAAATAACATACCAATCATCCCAAAATATAAGATGGAAGAGTCTGTTGTGGATAAGGTAGGAGTCACATTCCATTGTCTTTTCTATGTTCATTTTTTTCTTCCAAATATGATTATTATATGTTGGAAGTCTTTTTTTCCAAATCAACCTCCATGGATGAATGAAGCATGAAATTTGAGACATACTGGCCACCATAAGGAGCAAGTGCATAGGCCACTTAAATAGGCCCTTGTGCACTTTTTCAATCCTTCCAAGCCTCACCATTCTGACGAAGTTGAGTTGGCCTTATGACCTAGCTCCTTATCATCCAGGGGGTCCAAAGTGATGGACAACTGTATAGTCTGCCTGTAGTAGCTAAGAGAATCGCAGCGACACATAATCTACGCCGAGGTCTCTTCCTCTACGCCGCAGCACTCACACAAGGGATCTTCAGCCACCCCCATCTCGAGCAGGTCGCGCCTTAACGTGTTATGACCAGAGAACAGTCCTACCAGCAACCTTAGGTTGGCTCTGTCCAAGGATAAGCAGAAACAATGAGTTCCCGCGCCTAACGGAGACGTCTGGACGTGCTTCTCCATTTCCGAGAGTGTTGTCTTGCAGTCCACTTGCGGTTGAAGCGATATTTGGGAGTAATTAGATCACCCCTGCTTAGAAGGACGGGATCTTCCCTTTGCAGTACGACTAAGATGGCAGTATGATCCCTCACAGGATCCGAAAAGGGAGAGCTGCCCTGACTCCACAGTCGGTGTGCTACTACTCTCGCTTCTCCGCGGATCACTAGATCCAACGGTGGGAGATCCAGCAGAGCTTCCATTGTACGCAATGGCGTTGTCCGCACTGCGCTTAAAATGCTGATACAGGCCAAACGCTGAATTTCATAGAGTTTGGCCTTAGTTGTCTCAGTTCCAATGCAAGGCCACCAAACCAAGAAGCCGTACAAGAGAATGGACGCACTATCGTCATGTAGAGCCAGTGAACCACTTTGTGGTTTAAGCTCCCACCTTACACCGACAACGCGTCTGCAAACCCATAATGAATTGCGAGCCTTGTTAACCTTGAATTCAACGTGCTCCCTCCAGTACTGTTTGCAGTGCCCAGGGTAATTCGTAGATATTTTACTGATTGGGACAGACCTAATTTAGTCCCAAAGAAGACAAGCCCGTCAATTCTTCTTCTCCTAGTTTATAGGATCAGCTCGGTCTTTCCATCGTTGACAGAAAGATCGGCTTCCCACACCATAAAACGACCTCTAATAAATATGCCATCAGCATAGGCTTGCACGTAGACACCTCCACTGCTGAGCTTAACGAGGAGTTCATTCAACACAAGGCACCAAAGCAAGGGTGGCAGAACTGCGCCCAGCGGGCAGCCTCGAGCTACGCTGGCGCTGCAGCTTACCTCATTCAGCTTAGCTGTTGCTACCCGAGCCTCCAGAGTGGATAGAACCCAATCTACTACCAAGGATGTCTGATAGAGTCGGTTGTAGAGCAATTAAATGCATCTTTAATGTCCAAAAAGGCCACGAGTGCCACTTCTGTCTGATATAGAGTCTTCTCCAGCCTGCCGACCAGATTGTGTAAGGCCAGATTAGTCGATTTCCCAGCTTGGTATGCAAACTGTTTGGAATGAATGAGACACCTCCCCAGCTGGCCATTCCTAAAAAATCTGCCAACTATCCTTCCCAGCGTCTTAAGCACAAAAGATCGGACGAAAATCCTTCGGGTCAGTGTATCTAGCTCTGCCCGGTTTAGGAATAAATACCACTTTAGACTGTCGCTAGCTTCTAGGTGTGGTAGGCCAGGTGGGGAACAACCGAATCCAGACTCGGGCTTTTGTACGGAGCAAACAAATCGATCGCCCATACCATCCTTTCGAAGGTATCAATCTCGCTTGCCGTGCGCCAGTCCTCCCCTGAGGGCCTGCGTAACTGCATACACTCTATGTTTGATCGCGCTAACAACCAGACATGTGAAGTTAGCCCAGAATTAGTCAGATATTAAAAAAAATGAGCACACGTGGATTTTCATCGTTTTACCATGTTTTTCCAACCAATTGTTTGGTTTTTCCATCTTTGACTAACAAAAAAAATTATGAAATGATTTTTCAGGATCATTTGAGATTGGCTTATAAATTTCTGATGGGAATATCCAGGAATTCGTGACATACTTAATCAGAATTTCAATATGACGTTTCGTCTATTGTTCTCTAGCATTGACTTTACTTTGTCTTATAGACACCTTATTGGATTTTTGTGCAGATCAATAGAGTTTTAATTATGATTTCAAAAATGGATAATATTTCATACATTGACATTACCAAACCTTAGTTATTCCAGAAAAACAGAAGTTTCTAGGTAGGCCTTGCAATTATTAGATTTCATTTGTTTCGTATACCAGACCAGACCTCAAACTGAACATAGCAACAGGGTTTGGAAGACTGAGAAGAAGAGAAATAAATCGAGCTGTGAACAATGTACCGAGAAGAACAAAATAGCGGATAACATTTTGAACATATGCTATAATTTACCTCTGATTATTTAATGATTATTATTGTCATTACTATCAATGAAATTTTCATTTCGTGTTCAGCTTTCATCATACCTTTTTATTTCCTTATAATTTCCATCCAGCAACAAATTCATGGCCAATCCATTCCAATGTAGCGTCCATATGAAAAAACAAAGTTGGTGATGGTCGAAAGAAAAAACGTCAACTTCAAAATTTGACTACGCCATCTTGTAGAGAAGAATAAGTAACAATGACAATATGCAGTTTACTTTCAAATCCCATCTCAAATACGGCCAGGAAAAAATAAAAGTGATTTTGGGATAAATCTGGTAAGCGAAACAAATGACTATCTGATAATTTCAAGGGCTACCTAGGAAAGTCTGCTTTTTTGAAATAACTAGGGTTGGGCAATGTTAATGTATGACATATGTTATACATTTTCGTAATCAGAATTAAAAACTATTTTCATCTGTCCGAAAATCCAATTTGGCGTCCATAAGATGTTATGTAATAATGTTGTGGAGGAGAAAAAGTGGCGACGTTAATGTGCAATCTATTTTGAAATCCTATTTCAAATAGTCAGGAGAAAACTAAAACGATTTTGGGAAAATTCGGTTTTTTCCGTCTCTCATATACCCTCCAATACTTCGAAAGTTTCTAAGCGGCATTTTGATGACTACCTAAACACGCAACTTTGCCCCCATTTAAGCGACTTTCGTATCTCTTACAGTTTCTGAGTTCCCAATAGTGAGGGTCGAATTTGAAACATCCTGTATAGATTAGACTATAACTGCGGTAAATACTACATCGGTGAAACATCTGTTAATTGTAGAATTAAAGAACATAAAGTCTATATAAAAAAGGGAGCAACCTCAAAATCAGCCCTAAGCGTACATGCTTGGAAAACAGGATATAGGGTAAAATGGGTAGACGTCTCAATACTATAACAAAGAGGATAACGATTACAAAAAGAAGGTATAGGATCAGGCTATATAAAATTAAACAATTTAGTCTAATAATATTAGCAAATTTCCCCGAAATAATTGTAAAGTCTGGTTTTATTGGTGCAAGTTGTTCAATGGAGTATTTAAAACATGGACTCATAAAATGGATACACCAATTTTTGTGGGAAAACTTTCTATTTGACAACAAAGAATGAGAAAACGTATTGTTTGGGATTCAATCGAAAGTGTTGAGAGGAACGAAAACACTTTTCATATATTTTTAGGTATTTATGAGACATACAAAATGAGACCACACGTGAAAAGATCCGAATAATAGCAAAAATGTTATGGCCGAAAAACGAGACAAAATGCAGGTTTTGGCACTTGTTGGTAATGCAACGATAATTTCACGCAACTACTTCAAATTCTTCAAATCCGTAGGATTTATACTTCTAAATAACAACACAATTGGAGTATATTGGTCAGGTAGTTTTTTGAGAATTTCTAATTCACTACTAGTTTATTGAGCAATATACAAGGTTCAGTCAAACAGCATTTAATAGCAAAATACACGAGTCTACCTTGCTGATATGAATCACAAACCATTCCGAAAGATAAATGTTACTTTTATGTGAAAATCAAAGGTTACGTTTCTTCTTCTAAACAAATTCAAATATTTCGTATTTGTGAGTAATTGAACAAATGCGCTACGACATTCGGAAAACATACACATTTTAAAACAAAGCGGACGTGTCTATCATCTTTTGTTGCGAATTACTCGCAAATACGAAATTTTTGAATTTGTTTAGAACAAAAAACGTAACCCATCGTTTTTTACATAAAAATAACATTTATCTTCCGAGATGGTTTGCGATTCATAACGGCAAGGCAAACTAGTGTATTTTGCTATAAAATGCCCTCTGAACTAACCCTGTATATTGCTCAATAAACTAGTAGTGATGGCCGGAAAACAAGTGTTTTGGGATAAACAATTAGAAATTTTCAAAAACTACTTGACCAATCTACTCCAATTTTGTTGTGGTTATTTATAAGCAAGAATCATACGAGTATGAAGAATTTCAAATATCTACGAGATACCATGGTCGCATTATCAACAAGTGCCCAAACCTGCAGTTTTCCTCGGTTTTCGGCCATAACGTTTTTGCTATTAGTCGGATCTTTTACATGTAGTCTCATTTTGTAGGTCTCATAAATACCTAAAAGTCTTATATCAGGAGTTTTTAGTTTCTGCCAACACTTTCGATTGAATTCCAGAAAAACACGTTTTCTCATTATTTGTTGTCGAATAAAAAGTTTTATTGGTCCATGTTTTGGGGGTAAGAAGTACTTTTCTCCGCATGACCTTCTCACTCTATACAAGGCCCAGATAAGGCCTAGCCTCGAGTATTGCTCACACATTTGGGGTGCTGCCGCCCCGACTACATTGTCCATGCTCGATGCTGTCCAGAGGAGGGCGGTCCGACTGATCGACGACTCTTCTCTAACAGACAGTCTCGGGACTCTTTCGCACCGGCGGGCCGTCGGCGATCTAGCTCTTTTCTATCGCTACACCAACGGGCTTTGCTCCTCAGAGCTCTCTTCCATG